GACGCTCGCCTGGGAAATAAAATAAAGAAATACGCGTGCACGCGACAGTACGGGCCCCGACATAAATATTAGACTCGATACGGACTTTTATGAGACTTAAGCTTATGAAAATATATGTCCTTAGATGTATTGTGATTCTTGTTAGAATTCTACACACTAATCTACAGGTTTGACCTAGTTTTAACTGAAGCGGACACTTGGTTTTCTTATTTTTGTGTAGTAGTAATGTTATTTTTAAACACTCGTTGCTCCCAAAAAGATGTCATTGTGTCGCTGAAATAGTAGTCTAGGCTAAATGGATGAAGCAGTACATTTTAATGTGTCTGTTTTTATTCAAATAGTAATATATTTTTTTGTACAAAAGACTCCATTTATGTATTCATTAGTAAATCATAGTAAATGCCACGGTATAATAAAATGCCCGTATCGTAGTACTAAAGAATCAATTTTGAATATTTTATTACGCTATAAAGAATGAATATTTGCTCATCAAACAGGACCCGAAACCATAAAACAACAAAATCAGCGTTATAAAAGTGAAACAATCAATAAAAATATAAAATTGAATTTAATACGAACGACTGAACCATTTGACCACGCATTTGACTGCCATTATTAAAATGACCGAAAACAATGAAACATACGCTTAAGTGTGCAAGAAAGAGACAGAAGTACTTTCTATCTTTTTTCCACTAGTTTATCGTTTAATGAGGATTCGGTTTGAGTGCACACATAAATGTTTAGTGTCTGTATGTACGTCTGTTAACGTTTACAATAGTCGTATAATGTCCAATCATTGGCGATACTCGTAAAAGGTAATTGATATTTTTGCTTCCTGATTTCAGTATTGATGTGACATAAAAATCATTGTATGTTTACACAGGCACTCGGCGAGCCTGGACGACTAAATAACTAATAACCCAATATACGATGTTAATAACGAACATTAATGTTTATTTCAGACGTAGCATTTCAGTTAATATCCTGTTTTCTATTGAATAAACATTCCCTGGTGATATTGCAATATATTTTATTTACATAATCTGTGACATTATACTTACTCCATGCCTCTAAAGAAACTGTAATTAATTATCATGTCGTAGCTTCGAATTACTTTTAAATACTTTTTAAATTTTGAATCTGGAATCAAATTCGTTATTTTTTTTTACTAGGCCTTAGAGTCGTGACACTTTTTTATTTTTTTATAGGATACGGCAAACAAGCATGTAAATCTGCCACTGCAGCCTGATATTAAGCAATCGCTGCCCATTGACGCCCGCTACATGGAAAAGTAACATGAACGTTGACGGCCTTTTGGAATGTATGTATTAATGGATTGGAGGTAGGAATGGAGGAAAGGATTAACCTTCTATAATGTGACACATACATAACATAAGAGTTGTTTGACGACGGTTTTCTGTTAGGCCGTTGTGTCACTCCGGTCGTGCTTGCTCATTTGTGCTAAAATAGGGTTCTCACAGACTCTATATATGTTTTTAAATTATTATTGAATTTTACAGCTCACTCAACCACGCTCTTTTGCCAATAAAAAATATTTCACAAAAAGAAAGAAAAAATAATAATTCTTTTCTACTACTGTTAGTTATTGGCTTTCAGACCTTATAACTAAACTCAGAAATATAAATTTGAAGACTTCTAATGTTGATAGTGAGCCTAATAGACCAGTAATTTTGAAAACAAAACCAAATAACTTTAGCTATTTGTAGACAGCAGAGTGCATATGCTGTCACCGCCTCTTTTTGAATTCCTTGAATTTCTACGCGTATGTGTCGTAAGAGCCAACAAAGAAACTAATTGATTCACAGAGACCGGCCAGCAACATTCTCTGATAAACCTGATTGCAACCTCTGATCCACCTGCCAAGCTAGGAAAATACGGTTAAGCCCTCTTTTGTATAGGAGGCTGGTATTCCTCCAATGGACTCTCAGGCTGTTGTAAGATTGAACATGTTATAAGTCTTTGTTACGACATCCATTGAATATTTCACTGCGAGCTCGGCACACAGCTATCGAAATAAAAAAGTGAAGAATGTCCCTAGGGCAAGCAATTTGCCTACTTAGCTCGCACATAAGGAAAGAAAACGTAAGACTACGCTAAATAATATATAAAGCGATTCTTCCCGAGGAATACTGGATGAGGAATATTTCAAATAATCTTTTTTGTTGTACGATGAATTTAGATACGATTAGGTTATTTTTCGTAACAAATATTAACATGCTTTCTTCAAAATAAATATCGCTATTATTCAACAGGTTATGCTTATACACGCGTTTAATGATAATTTACTCTCATATACAAAAAACCTGATATAATAAGACTTTAGAATGTATTCTAAATAACTACTCCTGTAGATGATTTCAAATCTACAAAGGTGACTTATAAGAAAAGCACGGAAATGCAATAGAAATATTTGGTCTGGTGTAGTATCATTTTGCAATCACTTCAAGCCCATTCACTATGTAACAATTTAACACAACTTCAAAGAGTAATATATAACAAGATGTAGTTACTAGCTGCACTGCAATGTTCCGTAATTCCATTACATATTCATGCATCATAGTGCATACTAAATTCATTGTTGCATACGATACTTTCAGATGTCAATAGTTGAAATAATGTGGAAATATTTAGTCGACTAAAAGCGTTGGAAGTGAATAATAATAGAATATTCTATTCAACTTTACTTGCTCGGATGAAACTACTGTATCATGCAGGCAGAGGCTGCCAGCATTTTAGACGATGTAAAGAACTGATAATTGTTTCCAAATAGTTTCATTGCATAATTAAGTAAGTAAGTAAACCAATTAATACTAAATTCTCGTGTCCTCTAAGGATAAAAGAAAAGAGATTTACTTTTAAACTAGACTGGTTCTCACGGGATTTCAACTATGTACTACGTATATACAAATACTTTCACAACTATTTTTGAGTGTGGAAAGACGTCCATTGAGCTCTCTCATCCGTTCTGTCTGTGAATCTAACTGACTAACATTCATCCCAATTCTTCAGGTCCGAGCGACGCCGCGGCACACGATTGTGCTTACATCGTTAATCCTGGCTCTTGTGGGACCTTCATGGTGGCCAGGAGACGGAGTGATGCGTCTTTCATACTGTAGCCGGAGATTGTCGCGCGATCATTTTGATTGCTCATCCCAGCCTAGTTCATCTCCCTCCGCACCATGGATGGGCGCGAGTATTCGGTACCGCCAATCGATTCCCTAAGAACACGGTGGTATTCAGTCCATTCAGGGAACACTGCCACCGTATGTTCCGTTGTGTCTATACGAATTGTAATACTTTTATTACCCTTCAGTTTAATTAGTACCCGTCATCATTAGGACATTAAACATTTCTTACTTTATTAATACCGATTTAAACTTCTAGTAGTACCCTTAAATTCCAGTTAAATAATAATACAAGCAATGAAAATGTTCACAACGCCAGTTCTGGCCCGATGCATTAACGGGATGCAGAGTTTGACAGAAATTGAGGCGATATTTTTACATCCAGGGCCTCTCCATTGGAGGCCTTGTGCATTATTTTAGAGGCACTCCATTACAGCCCTGTTAAATTAAGGTTGTCAAAAGCGAGACTCGTAATAACGTCCATGTGCATATTTCAAGTTGAAAATAACTAACTGAAAAACATGGATGACACAGATGTTTAACTTTTTTTGTTTGCTAGTGGGTATTATTAATAAACCTTACTTAAGTTCACACATGTTTATAGATAACATTTTTCTTTGTCGTTTTGCTGCAACACTGAGCCACGGTGCTACTGAGGTTTTTGATAACCATTTTTACAATACTTTTTACTATGTGTATGACATAGTTTTGATTATAAATAACAAAAACGATTTCTGCATGAGATTTTAATGTACAATTATTTGATGTACTTGTAATAGTTAACTATTGTCATTCAATTATAAATATCAATTTCTGATTTCCATTTCTGATACGAGTAGTAAAAACAGTAGTTGATTATCTTAAACAAATTAATTAGATTTTTTTCTGGCATAACGTGCCAAATGTACCCATCAACTGTTGTCATCAAGTAATTCGACTTTGTATTTGGCGTTGAAAAAGCACTAGCAGAATCTTACGGGGTACCAAAACTCATCGAAAAGACTATAAATTATATTTTGATAATGAATGTGGGCATCTAAACGTAAGTCTTGTAAATTAATTGTACAACTGGAAGGAATTTAATGTGTTTTCTTCCTAACACGTGTTACCACTGCTTAGCCTGGGTTGACGGTTAAGCGCAATGAGTCACCGCGGCCTTGGCCTAGAGCAGGAGAAGGAACGGGGGGTTTTTAGTCAGTAAGAGTCTGACACCCTCTCACTCCTTTCTTCACTCACTCCCTGGGCGGGAGAAGTTATTTGAAGATTTTCCCCTGATAAAAGAAAACCACTGGTTACGCCATCTAGTCTAATAAGAAAGAACTAAATACTGAAATCAATAGGCGTAACATATGTTGTCGCCTTAGAAATCGGATGTTACATCGTTTCACTAGTTACCGAGGCTAAGCAAATTAATATTGTAAAAATATTAAAATAAAGGAAAATCGTAAATGGAAAACAAGGTATGAAACAGGAAAGGTTCCTTATAACTGGTATGAGGTAAAACGTGGGGAAACGGGGAAACTATAAAATAAAAACAGCCTGTAGTTTTTCACGCGGCACTCGTAAATGTCAACGGGGCTGTAAAACATTTGTCTGTTAATTATAGGCTCGAAGATAGTAAAACCTTTAATAACTTAAAACTAATAAAACTAGGTCAGCCCTATGGCATTTGTCGACTAGCATTGTAATATAAAAATATTATTTTTAGACTTGCTTCATTTTTATGGTATTGTTCGGCAGACGAGTAGACAGATTACAGGTAAGCAATCAACGCCGCCCAACATCAAAGGAGTTACGAGTGTGTTGCCGGCCTTTTTGAGATAAGGGTTTCAGATACTTAAGGATTAGGAAGGGATGAAGGAGGGGGAGGGATTGGGCCTCAGGTAACCTCACTCACACGGCTAGAACACAGCGCTGTGGATATTTCACGACGGTTTTCTGTGAGACCGTTGTATTACTCTTGTCGAGCCGACCCATTCGTGCCGAAGCATGGCTTTACCACACTTTCTGCCAGCAAAAACGTATTTTTTACTGTAAATTGTAATATATTTTTTCGCCTAATTCCTCAAAGTTATTCAGATCTGTTCAGCAGTTTTAACATGAAAGTGTAACAATTATCCATCCATCTATTATACGTACTTACAAACTTTTGTATATGTATCACAGATTTTCACTTAGTCAAGAATATCAAAATATAGGTCTTTAATATCGACATCATAAAGATGGTCATCATTGCATAATTAGCGAAAATCTGTGCCTCGCACCAGTGGCGGTACCACCTTCAAACCCTCAACAAACGCGAATACTCCTTCGTAAAGGGCCGGCCGGCTTCGTAAAGCTTTTGACTTATCTGGTGTTGCAAGAATTCATGGGTAGCGAGATCATTCTGTTCGTTTGCCTCCTATTCAATAAGAAAAAGCTGGTTGTATATTAGAGAAACAGAGAAAAGTAAAGGAAAAACTATACGATGCTAGAACTCAAAAGGTCTTCTTTTATTCTGTGTTGAACAGTATTTTCAGGCGTTCCATTGGGGGTGTTTTTAATTTGGCCCTTAATACCAGCCAGTAATCTTTAATACAATCGGAACTCATGTATACGAGGTTATAATAATAAAAAATAGACTAAAAGCATGCATAAATTATAAGGAAGTAATAAAAAACTGATTAACAATATACTGGGACGGGACCCGGCGATACTATCGCAGTTCATTGTCAAAGTGATTGATTCGCTTGGGAGTAATAAAATTAATTTACCCTTTTGATTCGAAACGCAGTTGTCGAGTGGGCGCGGAATTAACACGATATCGCACACGGATTTACGTGAATCGTTATTACTAACGACCTGTACAATATCATCGCAGGAAATATATCAGTTGCAATATTTCACTTTTACCACAGTACAAAGTATTTTTGAAAATATTAAAAATTTTATAAAAATGGCTGTCGGTTCTTAAAGTGAAATTCGTCAGAGAATAATCAAAAGAGTATTATAAAAATGTCTTCGCTACAACTCTTAAAACACGCGCAATTCCATGGAGCAAACCAACTGGGTGATAGCCTTATGCTGCTGAACAGATCTGAATAACTCCAGGTTAGTTATTATCCTCCTACACTATCTGTTTTTATTTGTGTTGTAGTTATTTTTTAAGTAACATTAACCTACTTTGTCATAACACTGGGAATAATCTACCCATATTTTCATACTTACGAGGTAGACCACTAATCAGATGGGAAGATGACCTCAGAAGGACAGCTGGTCCAAACTGAAAAGACTTAGCCCAAGATAGAGATGCATGGGCATCTTTGGAGGAGGCCTATACCCAATCAGGGGTTCTGCGGACAAAACCGCTCACTATAACTTATTAATTAAAAAAAAACAAAAAAGAATCTTAACTATGTTACATATAATACTTACATTTATATTTTCTTATTTGTTTCTTAATTATGCACATAGCTTAATAACTAAAATCTTTGTAAAAGCGAGAAATAAAAAGCTTATTTATTAATTATTTTTATACTTAACATCGCATTGACGATTAATGAAGTACTGAGATTCAAAATCAGTCTTCAGACATCACAAATATTTTCATTTCAATCTTTTGTTTAAATGATAGGGCCGCAAACGAAGCATGTGAGTGAGGTTTCCGAAGGCACAATCGTTAACCTCCCTCCATCCTTCATCAATACCTAACTTCCCGAAACCCAGATGATCCGGTAGCTCGTCTGGCGACCTATCACTTAAAAAAACGCCCCGATCGAGCCACTCCAATCGTGCCGAAGCATTAAGAGAAGCTCCCACACTTAAATGAAAGAAAGAATTCTCAATAATTTATAGAAAAACGTCGCGCTTTTCTCTCGATTTTTGTAAGTGATAAATGCGTAGTATTCAGACTTGAAATAAAATCAATTATGTTCCAGATAGTTAGCTCCGCAGATGTTCTCAAAAGCTCTCAGATTTATTCTATCTAGACATTAATGGGTCTAGCCTATTATAGTACATGATTAGTATTTTTCTTCGAGTCTTTTGTTAGGAGATTTCAACTGTATTTTTGTGCGCTTAAACTTTATTTTCACGCAGCTTTATATTCAATTTTGTTACAATTGAAAAGACGACAACAAATGAATTCTGTTGTCATAATATTTTATTGTTTTCTTGTAGATATATATGGGGTCCAACATTGTTGATGCTGTTAGGCCCCGCCATCGCCCTGGTGGTGCTCACTGTCAACCGGTACCTGGACAGACCGACCTTCATGGTGAGGCATGATAAGTTCCTCGAGAAGAGAAACTTTCCTTCTGTCATCGTGTGCCCTGAAGTTAATTTTGTTGAACAGAAGATGGACAACTTTTTAGCTAGATTGTAAGTGACCTTAAATATGAAAAGGTTTTCCACTTTTTTTTTAATTCAAATGTACCAATTAAGTCCATAAATGAATACAAAACCGTGACCAAACTGTTACTCTGTATTCAAATTTTCTAAATAAGTTCTGACCTTTCTTTTAAGAAACGGCGAGTCAGGCTCTTACTGACTAAAACCACCCGTCTTCTTTTGCTCTGAGCTGGGCTTTGGTTTCAAATCGCTTCCAACCACAAACTAAAAAACATCCTTAAAACTTGGGTTTTAATTGTAAAACTAAATAATATGTTTTACAGAAACTATCCCCCTGGAACGAACGCGACTATAATCAAAAAAATACTTCCACAACTATCTGCGTTCTATTCTCTTGACATGTTGTATGAGCTACCAGACCTAATACGAGTGGAACACGTCCTGGACTACAATGGTATCTCTGTGGAGACGGCAGGGAGGTTACTTACAGCTACCTGTGAAGAAACGCTTATCAAGTAAGTCTTTACTTAAGTCGTCGTCTTAATGTTGTTATTGATATTAATGATTCTATTGGCTCATCAGACCATTGCATCGTTTGGAGTATGATGCCTTGGGCATGCGCGAGTAGGTATGGCACTACAGATCAGGGATTGGGATGGGATGAAATCCATCTTACATCCTTCCCTTGGACGTCTCCAAGTTTGCTTCTCGAAGGATGATCCCACTGCAACAAGCCCGACACTTTGTGGCTGCAGGGGATGAAACTTTTCGTTCCGTTTTCTGTAGTCTCCATAGGTGACAGATCTCGGCCTTAGTTTGGCTTTCATCCAGAAAAACTTACGAGAGACCTTTTAAGCCAAGAGTATTTTTAAAAATCCAACTTTAAATAAATATGATTGTCAGTCAGACAGTCGCTTTGTTAGCTCCATGGTTCTTGCTATTAGTGAATGATAAAAAACCCCTATAATAACAGATTCTGCTGATTATGATGCATTTATAATTGGTTTCCGAAAATTTCTTCATTCGATTTTGTAAAATTGTGTGTAAAAAAGTAAGGATATTTTACAACAGATGCCGCTGGAACCGCCGTATAGTCAACTGTTCAGAATTGTTCCAAATGGAATTTACCGGTGACGGCTTCTGCTGTGTCTTCAACGGAAGATCACTGAGAAGGTAATATTTTTTATGTAATAGGTCGGCAAACGAGCAGACGGGTTACCTGATGGTAAGCACTCAGCGCCGCTCATGGAGACCCGGAACGGAGGAGTAACGAGTGCGTTGCCGACCTTTTCGGAATAGGGATTTGGAGATGAACTGAGAAAAAAACACACACCACACAATAATTAGTTAGTGAATCCCTTTTTTGAAAAAATAAGATTTGAATTTTTCCTTAATAATACTATCTACCATTACTATATCACTTACTAGTATTAGGTATACAGGGAAATGGAGAGTCACGGACTAAATATAAAGAAATCGTCACCGAGGAGGACGTGGTACACGAAACTGTTCGGTTACACAAGCGGCCTGATGCTGGCCCTCAACCAGAGCCAGATACTTACATCTGTTGATCTCTCTTATAAGTGGGTGAGTAATAAGTATGTACATTCCATGATACCATGTAGACATTTTTAACTACAGCTGTTTTTCTAATATTTATCTCAATAAGGCGATTTTATCATATCTGTGAATCAGTCACATTCTTGTTGTTAAGCAACTGTTTAGGTAAGTTTAGGTTTACTGTTAGATAATTGTGATAAAGTTGTTTGACCAGTTTCAAGCTACGCAAGGGCCCATAACCAGCCAAAAAATATATTTTTCATGATTATCATAATCAGAAAATAATCTTCATCTAATACATATCATCCGGATGACATGCAACGTATCGCGGGTTCGATTCCCGTATACAACTTTTGTCTGACTCACAAATTGTTATAATGGGTCTGGCTGTAATTTGTATGTAAAATTGTATACTTGTAAACGGGTTCATAGGGGAAGCCATAGTGCGGAGCATAGTTTAAAAAATGTTTATGTTCTTAGGTGGCCCTTGAGACAGGCAACCACTTCGTCGATATAACCATGAATGGAACAGCTGTGAGTCCTGGATCTGAGCACTGGATTGCTTACTACACGACCGGCTACCAGATAGCTTTAGGAGCTAAAACACTTCATCCGTCACTCAGAAGGTGTAATATGGCATCAGAAAAGTTGAAGTACTTCCCTCAGTATAGCCAGTAAGTATTTTGTTTGGAGTCTAACCAGAAACATAAAGTGTAAGGGTTGATAGAGCATGTGTCAAATATCATCATCATCATCATCTATCATATCGTCATCCAATGTTCGGTTTTTCTTATGCATTCTAATACTACGGCCTCACAGAAAACCGGTAAAAAGCTACACCTATGATGTGTTTCGCCAAGTTAGCGAAGATTCCGGAGATCCAATCTTTACCTTCTTCCCAAAATTCTCAATCCTCAAATCCCCAATCCTTAAATCCGCATTGTGCATTCTTCATTCGGTGTCCTTAATAACCCACAAAAGGCCGGCAACGCAGTTGAAGTAACTTCTTTAGCTTAACTAAAAATCGCAGGTTACGCACGTGTATAAATTGAGAAAAGCTCTACTAGTTTCGAACTACAGAGGGGTTCTTCCTCATGAGCAGCGTGCGCAGACGCGGCGACGTCGCGCAGCCTACTGACGTCGCCGCAATTTATACACGTGAGTAACCCGCGATTTTTAGTTAATTTAGTATGTCTCACGATAGTTATTATAAAAACACAACTTATTTAGCATTACGAGTGTCCATGGGCGACGCTGACTTCTTGCCATTAGGTAGTCCGTCCGCTCGTTTATAGACTTATGACGAAAAAAGAGTACATTATAATAATAGAACCATTCTAACCACCAGCACAATAATAACATTCTGTCTATTAAATATCACAAAGAAACTTCAACTTTCAAACTATGTTACATCACGAATTTTAATTTATAAATTAAAATACACTTTTAATTTTTTTCAATAAATTCATTCTTTATTTTATAATCATTTAATTTATTTCGGTTTTAGGAAGTATTGTACGTTAGAGAAAGAAATAGCGAATACTTTGGACAAGTGCAAATGTGTTCGGAACAACCACCCGAGACCTCCCGGGACTAGCCGATGTCGAGCGGCCATGCTGCGCTGTGCTACTCAGGCCATGAGTAAGTTAAATTAATACCTTAAGATATTTACCAAATTCCATTCAAAGTGACTCAGAGAAAATATGCCCTTGAGGAATATTGTAGAATATTACGATAGGTTAATAAAAATTACCGTAATAAGGCGGCGTAATAAGGTATCGCGGCCGCGGCCTAGAGCATGAGACAGAACGAAGAGGGGGCGGAATCAACACCCGGTTTCTGAAAGGCTTGTCAACGCTAACATTAACTAATCTCCTGTTAAATCTCTTGTCAAGTCATCTGATTGGTTGTTAATAATCCAGTCAACCAATCAGATGACTTGAAAAAAAATTAAATTGATTTTAACGTTGATCGGCCTTTCGGAACCCGGGTGTTAGTCAGTAAAAGTTTGATACTACCTCTGAAAAAAAGGAGTAAGTAATTTAACTAATTATTGTAAAATTACAGACCCAAATACATCAAACTATATCAGTCTGTGCAGTCTACGATAGATTTTCAAATTTACTACAATGCAATAAATTGAAAAATGTATTAAATCCTATTAAATTTAATAGTTTAACTGCTTGTTAACCTTAATTGTAATTTAATATTTCCAGTTTCGTATGACTCCTTGAGCACTGACTGTCCAATGACCTGTGATACCAAGAAGGCTACAATGAAGTCCTCGAGATTTGACCTTGATGAGACTGTGAGGACTGTGGAACCATTCTAGTAAGATCTTTGCTGATTTATATTCAATAAAGATATACATCCTTTTATTTACACCCACAACACCAAAATAGTCACAAGTGCGTAATACAATAAAATAAGTGTGGGAGAGCCAAGCTTTGGCACGAATGGGTCGGCTCGACCGGAGTGATACCACGGTCTCACAGAAAAACTGCGTGAAACAACCATAGCGTGTTTCGCCGTGTGAGTGAGGTTACCGGAGTCAATCCCTTAATCTGCAAAACCTTAATGCCTCTAAGGTTGGCAACGCACTCGTAACTCCTCCGATGCGGGTGTCCATGGGCGGCGCTGATTGCTTACCATCAGGTAATCCGTCTGCTCGTTTGCCGACCTATTACATAAAAGAAAGTGCTTTGCTTGACTTTAATTAGGAATTCTTTTGAAGGTATTCCTAAAGATTTGAAGGTAATCCGTTTCCGAAATCCCGATTCTTTCATTATATTATTAGGTTGACATTAATACCTATATATTCTTGTATGCTTACCAGCCAGGGTTTGAACTTCAAGACGGTGACAGTGGTCAGGGTGTTCATACAGAGCCGCAAACGTCCCACTGTAGAGCGCTGGACATTCTACGACTACATAGATTTATTCTGTAAGTGTTCTCAATAATATTCGTACAACATTAAGGTAAAGATTTGCTTAGATTTTTCTAGAAAATTCTGAAGAAATGTTGATATTCTATTACGATTATGGTAAGTGATAACGCATCTAAAACGCTTTTTCTTACACAACTATTTTAAAAGAAATTGGTGTTGCTTTATTTAAAAACAGAGTTGAAATAAAATAAAGAACATTTTTCAATACTTATAAATTCTTCCTGAAATCGTTTCGTGATATCTGACATAGTCTGTATTTCTATAATCAACAATAGATTATACAGGCGAGATTGAGATTCACAGTATAGTATAAAACAATTTCGCTTTCTCCGTCCTATAAGCCTATGTATGTTTAAATCTTTAAAACTGTACATCGGATTTTAATGCGGTTTTCTTTAATCGAAATATTGTTTGAAGTAGAAGAGTTTGCAAGATATAATAACATCCATGAAATGGTTGAGATTCATTATAAGCATTGTTCTCACGCAAAACCGGTGCGGGTCGCTAGTGTTAAGTATATATAAATTAGTTATACAAACTATGGTCTTAAGTAAAACTTATTCGTTGTTGCAGCTCAGCTAGGAGGTATGTTCAGCGTATTCTTCGGATGCAGCGTGCTAACGTTGCTAGCATTACTTCAAATCGTTTGGCGCGCCCTCTACAGACGATGTTTAAAATTTTGGAGAACCACTGAGTAAAATTGCGATGCAATATATATCATATTTATATAGATAGCACCTTAAATTTGTCTCTACTGTAGTAGCTTTCTCTGTGTACACTTAAATCTTGAAAACTACGCAACCGAATATAGGTAACTGTTATAACTTATAACCAGTCATTCTACACACAGCAAAAAATATTTGTCGGTTATTTGAGTTTTTAGTTTCTCTAATACGAGTCTAAGTGGTTTCTTTGACGCACATGGTAATTGAATTATATTAGCGAATTAAGTACTAATGTTAAGACATATTTGAGGTAGTGTGTCACGGAATGCTGCTTATGAATATGAGACTCTAGCATGGCTTGAAACTAATCGTGTTCATAAGCATCGTAAGCCGAAAACATAATTAATAAAGTATATCTCACGAAAATTATAATAAAAAATACATAACCGTTGTTTAGAATCTAAACAGAACTAGTGCTTATTCGGTGTTCCATTATACATAAAGTCGTAAACTTTAATAATAGACTCGGTGGTTTTGTCAGACGTTGAATATATTTGTTTTAGAAAATAAACGGCCGTATATATGTAGAATTTTGGTTGCGGTTAACATAGTATTAATCTTGTTTGTATGAGTGTGTATTATTTAGTTCCACGCTGTACTTTTATTTATTTATTTCAGAATTATGAATGACATTTTTAATAAAATATTCACGTGGCTTCTATTTTTTTTTTATTGTTATTGTACTTTTTACTACTTATTTCATCGTAGAGTCACTATGACCGTCACTAACTAAAAGGCATTTTCAAAAATGTTTCATAGATAATGCAATAATAAATACTACACACATTATTTTATGTCGTACGGCGCCAAACGAGCAGAAGGAATACCTGATGATAAGCAATCAGCGCCGCCCTTGGGATACCAGCAACACCAAATGTTTCCTATGTGCATTGCTGGGCTTTTGGGAATTAAGTAGATTTAAGAACTGGGGAAGGAAAAGCCCAATCTTTCTTTCTTTCCAGAAGGATCGGGCCTACGGCGAAACACAACGCTAAGGATGTTTCATGCCGATTTTCTGTGAGGCCGTCGCACATCTCCAATCGAACCGGCCTATTTCCAAACTAATACGCTGAGTTGAAAAAAAACATGCAAAATAGGTAGATATGCTAAAATTTCAAAAGACTTTTGAAATATAAAACCCGATTCAATAATATGGAACTGAAAAAACTTTAAAGGCTTTAATAAAAGGTAGGAAAGAGATCGAAAGTATGTGTGACACGGCAAAGTTACGCGCCGCCCCGAATTGTCAGCGACAACCCTAATGAATAAAGTTAACCATCAGATTGGGAACTCTCACCGTTTAATTAAAATACTCCAGATTACACTGCAACTTAACTATTCCACTGGATTTCGTGTGGGAGGTGTTTTTGGATAGGTCACGTGGTCCCTCCCTTTGTTTCAAAGGGTAAATTGTGGGTGTTTCATGGCGTAGGCATATTTGCGAACTAACTAAGTACCTATAACCTTTTTACGTTCAAAGCTTTTTCAAAGTAACTAGACTAGCTAGACTTGAAATGTTAGATTTGTAAATAAAAACTTTGTTCATGAAAATGTATATTCAAATATGTATGTATGTATATTTATAACTTATAAAAATATAAATTCCTCGATTAAGCTCGTAATATTAAAGATTAAAAATCCTTTAAAGAAAGAACTAAGTCATTAGAATAAAGTACGACGATGCGGGTATAACATCATAGGGAATATAACAATCTTATAAATCCTATAATCATAAAATCTTAACGATTGTCCCTTGTTTTAACATAAATAGACTGTTAATTTATAATACAATCACAATTAACATGCCACAAAATGCGGAACTAACTATTTATAAGGAAATCATTGTAGGTACTCACTTCCTAATAAGATTATATTATACGCAGACAAGATAACTTTAATCGAAACATCCCCAATCGTGTCCCATTCAACATTTGGTAAAGTCACGCCGTGTCGGGAACCTATTGCTCGACCAAATCGAATTATATTTTAGCTAAATCACGCTCGGGCAATATATTGCGTTGCCAATGCATTTTGTATCGCATCGCCGATTGATACCGATTGTGGCTCGTATCGATTCGAGAAGCGACGCCGACACGTGAATTATTTCTCTAAGATATCTGTTCGATTTGATACTAATGAAATTATAGAAAAAATATAGTTTATTGAGCATTAACATACATATAGGTCCAAACAGAAAACCTATATAAATTGTAGAAGAACAGAAAATACAAAAAAAAAATTCGTCACAGCGCAAAAGTTCAGTGCTTAGCTTAAAGTTGTGGCCAGGGCGCAAAGGTTCGAGACCATTGCCATTTACCACTAGCTGGTACCTATGTTTTTCATATTAAATAACTAGCTACTCTCGCGCGGTTTGGCCCACTGCTCGGCTCCATTTAATCGTAGCGTAATGTTTTATAGCAATCCGACCAGCGGTTCCAAAGATTACCCCCTACATACAAACTTACTAATTTTACCTCTTTATAATATTAGTATAGATAAGTAAATATGATGCACTATGGAGCACAATATAAAGTATAAATTTATAATACAAAAAACTATAAAAGTGTACCTAACCTTAGATTTATAATGATTTTTTGTGGAATCAGTTTCATTTAAGAAGTTTGTTATTTTTTTATTATTATAATCTCGACTCGTTTAAGCGATGCTACCTACAGCCCAAAATGAAGCACGCCTGTCCATAAGCAACCTAGTGAATTGTAATATTTTTTTTATTTACATTTTCAAGACTTGTTACGAGAAGAATACTTTTACTGTGATTTTTACTGTTTCAAAGTAACATTTGGTCTATGCAATGTAAAAACTAACCATTACGTAACAAAACTAAACTTCCTAACTAGATCAGCAAGCAGAAAAACAGACGAAGTAGTCTGAATTAACCCATTTGTCGAAATAAGCCAACAAACATACAAACTTTATTGTAACAAACGATTCAAACATACCTAAATACCCTTAGTGCAAAAAGACTAGTTTAACTTACTAGGCTCTTAACAGGAAGCTCATAAAAACTCAATTAATGCCCCGACAGTATAAGCTCTTAAAATAACCTGAATTTAAAAAAAAAGCTTTTATAATTTAGATGGCCGCTCTCGCCCAAGGTTACTACAAAACATTAAGAGCTCACTGGAACCAACCAAAAAAAATCTAGTACAAACAACACAGACTCAAAGGGCTCGTATTTAATGCCACGCATATTACCCTAAAAAAATAACCACTGCTTCCGTTTATAAAGATTGCAGAAACGGGCACGGAAGCGTAGGGCCAACTTCATGCAAAAATTATACAGTGGCTCGGTCGGCGAGCATAAATTGTTCGAAAGCGAGCCTGCCCCTTTAAAAGCTTATTGTTTTTACCTCACCACGAATGTTTCCCTTATTGGTGTAAAATATTTGCGTGGCTCGCATTGTGGGAGCCTTACCTTTTTGTACGGTGTTTTGTCGCGTGTGCAAAAATCTGGGTCTTGCGTAACGTTGTTTACTTTACAAATATGATATGATATGCAAAGATGTCGGTCGGTACGTGTATATTTTTTGTACGTTAACTGGCGTACAAAATGTTTTTACATTAAGCCGTGTGTGGTTTTAATTTGCGTAATGTTTTCGCAGGGCCTGCAGCAGAAAAGAATATGTATGAAAATGACATTTAAAAACTATAGTGCGAATTTGTGTCCTTTGTTTCAAAACTAAGGTTGAATGCCGTTATTACAAACCATGAGCAAGAGAAGGATCGACTACCATATTACACTAGAAAAATAAACTCCTAATATGCTGATTTCCCATAAATAACACAGTATAAAGAGCAACAAGCCATATAAAATCAAAGCGGAGAACTTTATCATCGTGACTTGTCCCATAGTTTCGCAAGACTTAACTTGAAGAATAATTTGTTTCACAAACTCACCGACTCAAGAATGTACGGCCATGAATTCCACGGAATATATCGCTGAAGTTATAATACCAACCAGGTTGGACTCGACGTGAATAATAACATTGCAGGGAGGATCCACGGACCTTATTAAGAATTCTCTATTAAATATCATTGTGGTTTTAGATCGAGGAATATTTGAATGCTGAATGATGGTCATTATACAATTTGGTATTGTTTGAATTATTTTGCAAAATTTTGTTTCTATTTTGCTAAATTTAATTGCATTTATTGAATGTCGTAATGGAATGAAGTACAGCTTGTCATGCAGTGTGATATTGATGATTCCAAAAATAATCGGTTAGTAAGTACTAAATAATAAATTGTTCTAAAAGGATTTCACTCTGTCAATTCAACCCTGAGATCACCGTGTCTGGGTCTTTAAATCCCGTCTCTATTATTCTAAGTACAGTCAAGTAAAATACGCTACAAAACCTAGACTGCAAGTTTAAAAGTTTTCAAACAAAAATGTTCAAATTGTTTTCTAACCGTAAATAAATGGATCTTCACAGCACATAGAGTGAATTTACACAGAACGACTTTGGAAAACAGTTTCTGTCTTGTTGCCAAAATGTTGGAAGTTTTTTAGGCTGTGGCTTCATTATTGTGTGAATCGACTTTCAAAGTATAATTTTCTTTTCCATGTATTTCGAACATGGAAAAGGGTGTCAAAGGGGTTCCTTGAGGTTCAAAACATCGAGGTGTTTTCTTCTTTTGTCAGTTATGATACGGCTGGTATTCATTGAATTTGTATAAGTAGTAAGACTGAAAGTGCATTGTTATTACGCTCTCAAGTTTACCATGAACTTCAAGATCTCTAGTAGGACGATCCAGGACGTGAAAATATTATACAAAATTCCCAGTACATGTCGATTCTAGGATTTCAGTTAACTTTATAAATTATGGACAGCTTTGTTGACGTTTAACAAATCTATATGGGAGGATTAATGAAAATAAATGTTTTATTTTTATAGTCACTAATAATGCCTATAGGTCGATGTGGTAGCTAGGCAACCGCCGCCTGCGCAATG